GACTTTTCAAGGACTCCCCTCAAATTCAAGGACTTTTCAAGGACTGTGCGAACCATCAAAGAACCCCTGACTGTCACACAGCGGCAATCGTCGACCCCACGCGTATCGGGTCGCCAAGAGCCGCTTCATGTCTAGATATTACGAGGAGACAGCTGCTCGAGTGACTTACTGAAGCCTGATGTGCTTAATGGAGTGCCTTAAAGGCATACTAGGCCCATTGATTATGCAATGTTGACGAATGCTAGAGTAACTGGCACCTTGTGTAGTTAATAATTACATAACCTTATAGCCAAATGCTGGTTACATTAAAAACAAGACTCGAAAATGTCCTGTGCACTATAAATCTGTATCACACCCGCTTCGCCGGCAGCGGTTTGAAACTGTAAACAATTGATTTTTGGACTGCGGATTTCAATTAGACATTTCTTCGCAACGAGCAGTGATATTGGACAAACTAATACGCGTTTGAATGTAAGGTTATGTACTTATTAACTACACAAGGTGCCAGTTACTCTAGCATTCGTCAACATTGCATAATCAATGGGCCCAGTATGCCTTTAAATTCATGCAATCTCTCCCTGTCGCTTAAAAAAGCCTGTCCCTCTACCCACGACGACCACACAGTGACAAACGCTAACCGCACAAGTATCGGGGCACCACGAGTTGGTCCGCACGACCATGCATGTCTGGATATCAGCCGGAGAAGGCCGCCAGCCGCAGGGTTCATAGTAGTAAGACACATGTTGAAATAAGGACTTATAAGACTCTTTCTGGAGGCCAAAATAAGACTTTTTTACGCGATTTCTGATAGATCACCGACTATTAAAGTACACTAAAAATATTTATATAAAGCCGTTTCGCCGAAATTCAACACAGAAAATGTTGAAAAATGGTCCTTTGGCAAAAAATAAGGACTATTAAGTACTTTTCTAAGATTTCATCAAAAATAAGTACTAATAAGGGCCCTTATTTTATTTTTGGCAAAATAAGTACTTATAAGACTTTGGAAGACCCACTACGAACCCTGCCAGAAATGACTTACTGCAGCCTGCTGAGCTGGTAGTGGTTGGAAGGGTTCGGCGTGTCACGTCCCTCGTCCCCCGGCAGAAGGTATGCCAGCAGCGACTCCTTCGCCAACAGATTCCTGCAGAGAGAGAGAGAGAGATCAGAGAGAAAGAGATAGAGAGAAAGAGATAGATAGAGAGAGAAAGAGAGAGAGAGAGAGAGAGAGAGAGAGAGAGAGAGAGGAGAGAGAGAGAGAGAGCAGAGAGAGAGAGAGGAGAGAGAGAGAGAGAGAGAGACGAGAGATAGAGATAGAGCGCGCCCGCCTGCGTCGCGGGTCCCGTATGCCACGATGTGTTCCCTCGTCACTGTACCAGTGCCATTTACGTCGTAGCACCCCACCCCGCTCGGTCCACCCCTCCCTACCCTTACACCCCATGCTCCCGTTCCCACCCCGTACCCTACGACCCATGCCTCGGTCCACCCTCCGCTACCCTAACACCCATGGCTCGTGCGTCCACCTCCCATACGCGCGTGACACCCCCACCCATATGCTCGGCCCACCTCCCTACCCCTTACACCCATGCTCGGTCACACCCTCCTCTACCCCCTACACCATGCTCGGGTCCCCACCCTCCCCCTCCCTAACACCCCACTCCAATGCCTCGGTCCCCACTCCCTACCCCCTACACTCCCCACCATTGCTCCCGGTCCACCTCCCTACCCCTACACCCCACCATGCTCCACGGTCCACCTCCCTACCCTACACCCACCCACTGTCTCGGCTCCACACTCACCCTAACCCTCACCCATGCTTGGTCCCACCTCCCGACCTACACCCCCATGCTCGGTCCACCTCCCTACCCTACACCCCTACCCATCGCTCGGTCCACCTCCCTACCTACACCCCACCATAGTCCGGTCCACCGCTCCCTACCCTACACCCCCACCCATGCTCGGTCCAAACCTCCCTCCCTAACCCTCACCCATGCTCGGTCAACCTTCCCTTACCTACACCCCACCCATGCTCGGTCCAATTTCGCGCCAGCTAACCACCTCCCTACCCTGGCCTTGACCATGCCCTCATATCCCTCCAATGGCTACCATCCAGGACTTGACTCGTGCCCCCCCACCGGCACGTCCCTTCATCCACCAGTTATTGAACCCCCTCCTCCGCGGTGTCCCCCCTCCTCCAGTACGACCCCCTCCCCCCCGCGCATCCCCCTCTCCCGCGCGTCCCCCTCCCCCGCGCCCCCTCCCGTGCGCGTGACCTTAGCCCTCCCGAGATGTGGTGCGTGCGTCGGCCGTCTGCTGCCCAGGTCAGCGTCGCTGTCACCGTGACGATGCGCAGCTTCGTGTAGTTAGAAAGAAGCCTCAGCTTCAGGACCGTGGTCTCTGCCAACGAAAACGCATGAGAGCAGTCGTGATTGTGGTGACGTATGAACGGCTGTCGTGCACTCGCTGGTGTAAACGGCTGTGGTGTAGGATACCGGCGTGTGTTAGTTAACGGGTGTGTAGGAACGGCAGCGCTGTTGCGTGTAGGAAGCTGTCGACGGCTGTGGCCTGTAGGAACGGCTGTGGCTGTATGATAGGAACGGCTTGGATGTGCGCTCCTTTAGTAGAGAGTGCTTTGTAGAGAACGGCCTGTGCTTTAGGAACGCCGGCTGTGGTGTTATGTAGAACGGCTGTGGTGTGTACGCAACCTGTTGTCTATCGGGAACGGCTGTGATGTAGAACGCGTGTCGTTGCAGTGCTCGATGTGACGTAGAAGAGAACAACTGTGACATTAGCAACGCCTATCAGCCGCCACCTGCTGTTCACCTGTGCACTTGACGGCGAGGAGACGACGGAGAGATGATGATGGAACTCAGCAGCTTCTTCTTGCTTCGTCGGCGAGTTTGCTCATCCGACTCTTACTTCTGTGACGTTTCTACGAAAACGAACGGCGAACAGAGGCACATTACATCTAATGCCTAACAACATGACCTTAACGCCTAAACCTAACACTTACCCTCTAAACCTACCCTAACCCTAACAAACCTGACCCTAACCCTAAACCCTAACGCTAACGACCTAACCAAATCCTAACCTAAAAACCTGACTCTAACCCTAACGCTGACGCCTAACGAATCTGACAGCAAAAATACGAGAAAGCGTATTGTCCGCATCTCGTTGTCGATCAGCCTCAAAACCATCTCTCCACCGTCACACCACGTTTATTGGACACCTCGTTTAAAGTGATTACGTCACCGTAAATAGCTATAAAATTAAAAAAATATTATCCACTCTTTTTCACAAAATATAAGTAATTTCTGTTGCACTTTTTGGTTAAATTTTGCTGCCTAATATTCCTGTTTTACTATATTATGTACACTATGTGAACATACGCTCGTGACTCATACATAGCCCATAGCAAGCAATTAATGTTGGGAACATTAATATCAAATCGTCCAGGTTTTTTGGATTTTTAACTAGTTGAGAATCAATCTTATCAGGTAAGAATTTGACGATATGTTTAGTCCTGTTAGTTCTTACTTTTAATGTAAAAAAATGGGAATCTCGGGAGAGCGAAGAAAAGGGAATGTAGTTACCTCTGCCTGGGCCTCCTCCTGGTCGGACTCTGCGCTGTCTTCGTCAAAGTCTTCTCTGTCGTCCTGGAAGGACCTCACCTCCTCCATGATTCCCTCCACCGTCACGCACAACTTCTCATCTGTACGCACGACAACAACGCGACACGTTGCAAAGCGGGACCGAACAAAATACCTCGCGAAACGAAGTAGGAAACTATGATTTCATCTTGCGAGAACAGGTAAATTTTTTTTTACAGGTATTGGTAATTACAGGGTTATTTCCTAAGCAGAAAAAACTATGATCGACAAAATAAAATAACCAGGATGAATTAAAGAGCAAGCCAAAACATGTCGGAAGAGTAAGGAGAGATTGACCGTGAACCTGGGAGCATCTAAGGCACAGTCAAGAGTCCACCAATACACAGCCAGTAGCAACAAACGCAGAGCCGGGATTGGCCAAGGCACATCCATGGGTGAGAAAGGCACATCCAGAAGTGACTAAGGCACACCCCAGAGCAATAAAGTAAGAGATAAGCAATAAAGGCAGAGTCGGGAGCACTCGAGGCAGGGCTGGGAGGAACCAGTAAGCTAGGAACAGGTGCGACTCACCGCATGCCTCTCTGTAGGCGTCCGCCTGCACATAGAGAATGTAGAGCGGGGACGGCAGGTAGCGCGCGGTCTCCTGCTGCTGCCTCTTCTCATCCAGACGCATGCCGAGAGATTCCTGTATCGGCTGCGTCGCCTGCAACATCACGGTAGCCATGGCAACCTTGCAAAATCCGTGGCTGCCCTACCTAGTTTTACACTGTGCCGTTCCCATAACATCCAGCTTAAGTATGTACGCGTTTGAGGGCTTGCAAACTTTTTTTTGAAGGAAATACTGTTCTTGGGGTCCTCCATCTTGCCTTGATGCTCTAAAATTTCTAATTAACCAAACGCATGTGTACAAGTTGCATCATTAACCAATGCAATTTAGCAAATTTACAACTTGTCCACTAGTTAGTTACTAGATACTCTACACCACGGTTTCACTGCTAGCTACTCCGCGGTTTGGTCGCCTTCGATCGTCAGAAGACATCAACAGATCGTACCTTGAGTATGGCCTTGAACCTGGGCAGCAGGCTGTCCAGCTGGGCCTGCTTCTCCTGAATTTGCCTTGCGGTCTCCTCCTTGGTGGCCTTTATCTCCTTACAGTTCTCTGCCAGCCTGCAACGCAGCAAACACGACGTGAGATTGCTGTTCCCTCTATCACTAGAGGAACCTCCTCTATCACTAGAGGAACCTCCTCTATCACTAGAGGAACCTCCTCTATCACTAGAGGAACCTCCTCTATCACTCGAGGGACCTCCTCTATCCTCTAGCATTAGAATGCTTCCTGATGCCAGCACCCTCTACAACTCTAGCAAGAGAACACCCATCGATCCCAGCGCCCCCTATCGCCCCAGCATGAGAACACACACAAATGCTAGCGCCCCCTATCACCTCAGCACGAGACCACACATCAACTCCACCGCCCCCTATCGGCCCCGCACGGAGAGCGGTTCACAATGTCAGCGCCCCCTATCACCTCAGTGCGGGATCACTGTGTCACGCCGGCGCCCCCTATCGCCCCACGCGCGGCGCGAGCGCACTCACCGACGCCGCTGCTCCCTCTCCCACTCCAGCCGGGAGAGGTACTGCTGATGCTTGTCTGACTTTGTCACGTCTGGGCGCGAGATGGACGGTGGCGCCTCCACGTAGAACTCGTCAACGGGAACAATGTCGATTTCCTCGTCCGCCGACCTGCGACAAAAAACAAGAGAGCAGTGACGCGCAAGCGGATCTCTCTGCGGTCGAAGCGAATCATGTGGAGTAATAACGAGCAACGGGTAATAACGAGTAATGAGTAATAACGAGCAACGGGTAATAACGAGTAAAGAGTAATAAAGAGTAACGAGTAATAACGAGTAATAACGAGTAACGAGTAATAACGAGTAATGAGTAATAACGAGTAACGAGTAATAACGAGCAATGGGTAATAACGAGCAACGGGTAATAACGAGTAACGAGTAATAATGGCGTAAACAACGCGCAGGACGTCGTCGTGAAGGTGGAGCCACTTACTTGAATTGCAGACACTTGGTGATTTCTTTCTGTAGGTGCATCAGCTCATAGAGAAGGTTCTGCAGCTGCAGGTGCAGGCTGTCTACTCTGTACTTTGCCTACGGATCGCACACAGAGACAGAGAGAGAAACCTCGCGATTATTTCTGTCGTCTGCAAGCTCGAAGGTGAGCATGAGCATGTGAACACGCAAGCGCACGCATACGTGCCTGCATGCACAGACATGCAAGTGTGCATACTTATACATGCATGCATGCACACATGCTTGCACCAATACTCACGCTTGCACGAATGAACGCACACACGCACGCACGCACGCACGCACGCACACACACACACATCCGCACGCACAGACAGAAATGCAAGCATGCATTCTTACACACACACACACGCACACAAATGCATACTCACTTAGAAATTCAAACTTAAAAAAATCATAAGAATTCTTTAACGAACGCTACCCTTCTCTAAGATTAGGCCTCTACCGGACGTGTCATGGCAACGATGACAGCAGCAGGGACGATGGCTCCCCGGTCACTCACCTCACTCGTGGATTCGCGGGAGATGCGGCAGCGGATCTGCCCAAGACGGTTCAGCTTCTTCAGGTTGATGCCAAGCAGAGCGAGCTGAATCTTGTCCTCCTGCAGCGCTTCGTCCTGTCGTCACGGCAACGTGAACGTCAGTGTCCGCGCGTCTTAAAGTTGCAAGCGGCACCCGAAAAAACCGTGTCGTTTGCGCGTGTCAACGCGCGGTTCCGTACGGCAATATTTAAAACCGGATTCGATTGATTACGCATGCGATATCTCTTATGGACTAATTTAAGTATCATGCTTAACAGACAGTTAATTACATTAATTAGTCTGATCAAGAGTAATATAGTGAAACTGCGTGACCGACTTCGTATATGCCAATATGCAAATTCGCGTTCGATATCACCCCATTGCCATCACCACCAGCAAGAATCTGTTGCGAACACGTCTGACGGAATTTCTTATTCACGTATTTTCGAGACCGCGGGCGCGCGACGAGACGTACGTCGGTCGAGCTCCCGGCCTGCCGCAACTTGTGGATTCTCGCCAGCAGGTGGCGTATCTCCTGGCAGGTCTCGCTGTGAACCTCGGCGTCTTGCGCCGGGTCCCTAGCGCTGGCGTCCTCATCCTCCCATGTCAGCGGATTCTCCAGTATCTCATCCACCTGATGCAAACGATGACAGAACAGAATAGTATGCTAACAGCACCAGGGGTCGAAATTAGATTTTTATTATGGTATCCATTCGGGATACCAGGTATTGAATCTGGTTATACCCCCAAGCATCTGTACGTCATTTTTTTGGATAGTAATTTCAACAATGTTGGTATCCATTCAAATCTTTGAAATATGCCATAATAGCATTTAAAAATTAAATATGTAATGTAATTATTAATATAACAGCAGCTGCCGCAGAGCGACACGCGCTCATCTAACGTCTACTGCGTCGATCTAGTGGTGGGAGTGGTGGCGGACTTCTGTAACTGCTAGTCCTAATGTGCTTCACAATACACGCCGAACAATGGATGCCAACAGGATTCGTATCAGGAACCTTTCAAAAGATGTCGTTGGGATCGTTATGAAAGTTGCACGGAGATGGCCGACGTCCTGTTTAACGTGTTTTCAGATTAAAGCATGAAGCTCCCATCATAAGTTAAGTAGCAACAACTATTTGCAAGACAGAATTATGGTAAGCACTCATCCATTTCCTTACGCAGCCTACAGGCTGCAAATTGCAATAGAGGAGGCTGCCACCTGTAAAATTAAGGCAGGCAAAAACCTGCACAAACATGCACTGCAGCAGCCAATCGGCAGTGGCATACGTTACATGTGTAACATACTGACAGTACAGAATGACATACGAAATTACAGATTTAAGCGAACATCACCTTCTTTAACCAAATGTTAGCGTTTTGAAATTTCCTGTGACTTGTAGCCTCTACATCCAGCCATGTATAGATTCTACTAGCAACCCGGCAGTCAAATTCTTCTCTAACAGACAGTCAACAATCCCAAGCTTAACCTCCATCTTGAGGGTCAAAACGTTATCGGACACTTTACTCTTCGATTGTCAGCAGATTAGGGAGCATTTCATGGTCCTTTTCAATAAAAGCCTAAAAACTGCTAGTCACCGCCTTGAACAAAAAAGTTTTTCAACGCTCCAGTCAGACCAAGTCTCTCAGAAAATGTCTAAATCTGCTGGTGCCCACGACCTTTGACTCGCTGACCTCCAATTCGCCAAGTGATGGCTTTTCTACCATGGATGCCCCATATACACCGAATATCACGAGCGTACGGTCGAGCGTTTAGTTGGTGCGCCATCTGCATTTCTCCCTTATACTTAAGTTTAAGGAGTGAATGTTCCCTTCTTTACACTTTGACTTTGACCTTTGCTCCCAGCTGTCGAATCCAACTCGTTTTGGATACTACCCCCCCCCACATCCGAAGTATCGTGACTGTTACGGTCGAGCGTTAAGATTTGTGCCCAATGGTTGACGGACGGACGCACGGACGATCATGCGATTCTACAAGCTGCATCTGACTATGTCACTGTCAGATGAGCTAAAAACATGAAAACAGATTCCCAGATATGCACAGACAAGTACACTGCAGACGTATTGTCTAGACGCATTGTCTGGTTCGCTTGATACAATGTATAGTGTATACACATCAGATTTATGATCAACATCGGCCTCGCTTGCGCTTGCAAATATGCTCACTAACCACTATCCCGATTTTGACAATTTTTTTTACTATTCCGGCAGGACACCAAGCATTGAAATCTGGTATCCAACACAAGAATCTACTATCCCGCGGATATCGGGATACCGCTAATTTCGACCCCTGGGCAATCACGTGGAGTTATTATTCATGAGGCAAAATATAGTACGTAAACGTTACTAGTACTAAATACAACTTGGGTTTATTTTTAATATGACTTTATTATTCGAAGTGGCTATATGCCCGGCAGCCTACATATATCTGACGGCTGCCGGGAACGGTCTTCGATTTCCTAAATGCCCGCCAGTTTTTAATTTTCAGCGTTATCTCAAGTAAACAAGGGTTAGGGTTAGGGTTAGGGTTAGGGACTGCCGGGCATTTAGGAAATAGCCTCAGAGTTATTTTTAATATGACTTTATTATTACGATTAAGTACGGTTAAACAGCTACATTGTCTGTGTGAACTGCAGGCATTAGCCATTAGGTAGGAGCTCAGAATCATGTTTTTGTTTTCAAATGCCAAGGTCGATTTTAAATGGAGTACTGTACTGTAGCGCCTTACAATCGGCGAATTGCACCTTGATGACCATATTAACACCACAAACAAACTATTTCCAAAGAAAGATGCCCATTGCTGCTTGCTAGACGTTGGAATTTGTATATTATGTGGATTTTGGAAACATACATTCACATTGTGGTGTACGATCGGTGTACACACGCTAGGGCCTATTTACGTTTGAAATCTTGGTTCATCCGGCACCCCATTCCCTAGCCCGACCAGGCTGTGCGACCGATTGTCTATCTTGAATCTCCTTAGCTCTAGTAACTATAGCCCGCGTACAGCGGCAACCGTACGTGGGCTATAGTATAGGTAGTTACTAGAGCTAATAAGTAGAATCTCCTAACCCTAGCAATACCGTTTCTTGGAGCTAGGAGCTACACATGCTTATTCACACCTTCGCCTTCTTTGTCTGCATAATCGTCTCTCTTGCATCACGTACCACTTCCTTTCCTTCTCTCGGTTTTCTACGTTTCTTTATGGATATATTTGCTGTTCCAGACGACATCTTTAGTTTCTAAAAACACCTAAAGTACATGAATAACAACTAATAGTAATACGTTTCTCTCTCCATGCGTAGCGGAGACGCATTCAGTGTCATGCAGCGCCACCTGCCGAACGTCAAAGAAGTTTCTATTAGTAAGGAGTTATATTTTTATTGTTAAGGGGTATCTCAGCATAGAGTTATATAATAAATTATTATCAGTAGACTTGTGTTTATAATTAGGAGAGCGTCTTAGCCTGTGTGGTGCAAAACACCTACTTCCTTCCCTCCCGTCCTTCCCCTTGCCTCCCTTGTCCATTNGGAAAGAGAGAAGAGATAGTGTTATGAGAAGAAAAAACCTGCAATTTCAAATAGGTTTACGATATAGCATTTCAGATTAAACGCCGAGTTCAAAACCACCAATATGGTAATATAGCGATGTAGTGATGGCTCACTAATATGGCCGCGACATCCGTCATGTTTGACATGGCCACGAGTGTTTCGCGCTTTTTTGCGCGTGTAACGGCAAGTTTATGACAAAACGAACGATCGACAAGACGAAATTTCGTTCTTTAACCGGCGGATTTTTTTTATATCTTTGGCGACGTTCTTGCAACCCGTAAATAGCTCATCGGAAGGATGGACTTTTGTCGTCCGCGTCGACTTTAACATTAACTTAAAAGGTTTCTGAGACGTGACCCCATCAGTCAGTAACCATTCAAAATAATTACGAATTCTAGAAAAGGCTAGCAGTGAGATCTGTACGGCTATAATGCTATACGGCGCTTTGACGCGTAGGTACAGGTGCGTGGTCGCTGCGATGCTCTATGAATGTAATATCGATTAATGGGATTGCATAAACTGGATAACGTCACACGGGATTGCTTTGGGGGTCTTCGGCACACACACACACACACACACACACACACACACACACACACACACACACACACACACACACACACACACACACACACACACACACACAACAACACACACACACACACACAC